TTTTTCATTCTTCTAAAACTGTTATCCTTTAATGAATAAATATCTTCAGCTTCAAGTTGCTCTCCAGCTCATGGAGGGAAACACAAGCTTCTGTCCCACCTCACCGTAGGACTCTATTCCCTGGTGGGGCTTAAAAAATAATTAAAGGATTGGCTGGCAGGTGTACCCCACTTCCACAAAAGATGTGCTTCAGTGCAACTGTATGTGGAGTCTTTAAAAATTAAGTGTTAAAGACTAGGGAACTTCCTTACCTAAATCTGTTCTGTAATAAACATTTCTTGCAAAGCACAGTTTCTTTGCAACTATATACTGTATTTATAAGGTCATAGTCTGATACATAATGTTTGCTTAAATCAGTGAGTTGGGACACACACTGTGTAAGACCTCCAGGGTCAATTCTGTGCCAGGTTGTTGATTGATGAATGAGAAGCAGCCCCTTCAGGAGGCTTGACTGACACGTGTAACCGTTCAGGAATTAAATGGAAAGTGGTGGGTGGGATCGTGAATTCCTCAAATGTATTCACCTGTGTCATCGAGAGTCTAAGATAGGAATATTATAGTCACGCAGTATCCATTTGGTGATTGAAGAGAAGTGTAAGCAAATGGCCAAATGTAATTAAGGACCAAACACAATTTTTAAAAAGTGTCTGTAATGTAGTAAAAAATCACACAGAATTCCCTTGAAGGAAATGAAGACTTCAAATGCTAGAACAAAGGCTGGGTAATAATTCCTAACTAGAAGACTAATTTAGACCTGTGCCCCAATCAGTTAGAAGGATTTGGGGCAGCCACTTCTAATATATATTTGCATATAATTATACATATCTTCTATAATATGAACAACTATAAAAAGCATTAACATACACAAAAATAAGATTGTAAAAGAGAAGGTGAAGATGAAATAAGGCATACTTTTAAGTCATCATTTTTTATTAGTAGTATATCATTATTTCTATTGGACACAAACATCCATTTCAAATAACCTTGATGATTTTGCATTTGTTTTTGGCTGATTTCCGGTCGTGTTGGGTTAGGTCATGTTACCGCAAATGGGGCCAATGAGGAGATTTACTAAGTGTAAGAGACGCGTCAGCTGAGCCATTTTCTTGTTATTTGCTCATATGTACATTATTCCTATTGGCTGTAATCTTCACTTTCTCTAAAGGAACTTATTTTAAGTTACTGATGAGAGTCAGCTTGGTTATAGCGAGAGAATATAATTGGCCAAGCACATAAAATCTGTAATATGTTGAAAGATGCTTGAGGTGAACAAAGGAGTAAAAAGGAAGGCAGTGGACCCTGCACACCAGTGAAACGTGTGGCCGTCATCAGACAGACGATTGAGGGAGCCAGGCCAAGGAGTGGAGGGTGCCAGGAGGGAGCCAGGCCACTGGCGGGTGGAGTCCGTGATGCACATAGGTGGGAAGGGTGGATGTGTACCGTCAGCTCACCAAGGATGATTGAGAAATTTTGACCTGGAAATATAGGCTAAATGAGAATAGTTGCCTCTTGGTTTACCCTGCAAATCAGAGGCAGATTTAAAATCTCAAGCAGAATCAGAGGAATGATGAATGAAACTTCTTATTTAGCTCCCTACAACAGTTCCCTATAGAATTGTCATCTGCTGGCCATGGACGACTCTGATTGTCTTTTAAAATCTTTAACCTAGAGACCCACTTTCTTCATTGTTCTTGACAGGAGAGGGCCAGGAGCTGCCTGCGCTACCTGGTGAGCCAGCTGGCCAACATGGAGCACTCCTTCCACCATATTCTCCTGCTGGAGATCAAGGGCATCAGCGACAGTTTCTCCTCCATCCTGGGCCCTCAGAGCAGGGACATCTTCCGCATGAGCAACAGCTTCACTGCCATTGCCAAGCTCCTCACCCGACAACTGGAGAACACTAGTGCTGGAAGTGGCAGGTGAGCGGTTTCTTCTGCTTCAGGAAGCTGGTGGGAACCCGCAGAGGTGGAGCTCAGACAGCTACACTCTCCTTTACAGGCATGGAATTTCCCAAGGAAAGACAAACCCACTATCTCAACAGTGAGTGCTGTCTGAGTAAATCAGGGCACTTGCCAGAATTTTTTCCCTATATCTGTGGAAACTAGAATGTAAGAACAACAAAAAAATTCACAAAATATGATAAAGGAATAAGAATTTAAAACATATAATAATGTTTTATAACAGTCATTTATTTATTCAATAAAAGCACTTTACAATTTAAATTGTTAAACTGAACAATTTAACAAAGTTTACTATGTACCAGAGAACAAGACATATATAGAAAGAGATAAAACATGTTCCTTAGGGCCAGGAGCAACAGCTCATGCCTGTAATCCTAGCACTCTGGGAGGTCAAAGTGGGTGGATTGTCTGAACTCAGAAGTTCAAGACCAGCCTGAGCAAGACCTAGATCCTTATCTGTAAAAATAGCTGGACATTGTGATGGGCACCTGTAGTCCCAGTTACTTAGAA